GCGATGTGTTAGTATATAAGTTTATTTCTTTTCATTTTTGTCATCCAGATTGTTATCTCGGGTAAATCGTGCATCTGTGTAATTCAGTGTTAAGGAAGCAAATTGTACGCCGAGCAGTACTCGCTACCTGTGAATAAACGTCGTTTTGGGTTTGAAACTCTTCTGGTGAAGTTACCTAGAAGCAGCCACAAAATCCCTGCATTGGCCTCAGTTCCAAGCTAGTTCCAGTCCAATACCGAGAATACGAAAATAGTGTATTATGAATTCTAACTTGCATCGCGTTCGTAAACTTAACAGTTGCGACATCGTTTATACAAGTTTGAGATTTTCTTTTTTGTTTCCTCGAAGAAAGTTAAGAATATGACAAAATAAGAATTTACCCAAAAGCGAACACATATGTAGCTGCTATTGGCACTTCAGCGTGTATTTTGGTGCTGAAATGCGCAAGGAAACTCTTAGGTGAGGAAAAGGTTGTTCCTTTAGAGATGTTCTTATTAAAAGATCTGTTTACAAGAGTGTAAACAAGAGACTTTTAAAAGCTGTAGTCTGTTGTGCTCGCGAGATTACGCGCTTGAGTGTTGGTTTCAGCAAGGGTGCCTCCAACGACAGCAACAAAGCGAGAGAAAAATGGGGAGAGGGAAAATATCAAATCCTGAAATGCAACTAGTATTTAGAGCGTAAAAACGTAACAAGCATGCGCGAGTTTTAGCTGCAGGCCAGGGAGCGCCAGGCTCCAAGTATGAAAAAATGGCGGGAATTTCGTCGATCGCATAAAAAAGAACAGTTACGACCTTAATTTTCCCGGTAAGTAGCCAACTTTCACGCCACGAAAGGAAACCTGATGTAATGGTTTTTAACAGAATCATTTTTTTGGAAAAAATTAACATGAAGAAGGCTTCCGAACCCTTAATTTCCCCGCGGTATACAAGAATTAGGGAGTTTAACAAAACCACGACGGCAACGGCAACGGGAACGTTGCTAAACAAAAGATTTAATTAGGGGAAAAATGGTTGTGCACGTGCGTTATAATTCTTGGTACATTTCTTTACCGTCCTCGGCAAAACAACAGGGACCTTTAGCAATGACGACGAGAACGTGGACGACGACGTATATGACCGATTGAGCCCTGGAACGGGACCGTCGTCCACGGCGGGAAACGTAAACACTTTAGTAAA